ATTAAACTATTAAAATTTATTGAATAATTAGATTTCTTGAATAAAACATTATAAAAAAAATTCTCAAAATTTCAAAATAAACGCGTTTTCCATTTTTCTATTTTGAGAAAGCGTTTTTCAAAATAACAAAAAGATTAAAACAGACACTCAAAACACAAAATGAAATCAAAACTCAAAATACAAAACTGAAACACGAAAAGAACATCCCCTTAGGGTTTGGCTGTTTGGGAGTTCAAATCAGTGGATAGATTAATTTAATTAATATTAAAATGTTTAAATTATAATTTGATTTTTGAAAAAAAAAAACTTTTAAATCTTATTTTTGAATTGGATATTTTTAAAACTTTGGGCAAGTATAATTTCCACCAAAATAAATTGGAAGGTGAATCTATGCTAGGGCCGACAGATCCGCTAGTGAAAATAATACAAGAATGTGATTTGAGTAAACTAAGAGCCTTTTTTAAAGAGATTTTAATCCAATTAAAATTGAAAATATAATCGTTATTGGGTCCCACCCGTCTAATAAAAGTCAACAATAACCATTAATTTTTCAATTTTAATCCGATTTTAATCCCTCCCAAACAATCTCTAAATAAGTGGGACGAATCGAGCTACAATTTAGTAGAGCAAACTGACTCGCACGCGGTTTGTTTTATGAACAAATTGAACCGAACTCAACCATAGACAAATTGGACGACTAGACTCGCCCCACTTAAATATGATATCGTCCGTGGATTCAGTATGAGATTTTCTGCTTGTACAGAAAAGTTCATACAGAAAAAAATACATATACTCACATGGTAGTGGCCCCATATGAATTAAATATTGCCAAAAAAAAGGGGTCCGCTTTTTTTTTTTTTTTGGGCTCTCTCTTCTATACACCTGGACTTTCTCATTCAATATCCAATGGAAAACAAAAACATTAATTTTCGTAACATATATAAACAAAACAACAGACGGCAACGAAAATTGTGTGTTCCAGATCCGAACTGGTTGAACTCCCGTGAACCACGAGGGACTTCATGTATAACATGCAACAGATACATGAGTCCATCTTTTGTTGCAGGTAATTTGCACTATAAATCTTAATGAAACATGCTTTGAATCCTTAATCCCGTGCATTCCTCATGTTCTTGAATTTCTCCCTGCAAAATAAAACTTGAAGCTGTTCTTTTTTTGGTGAAATACAGCAGAGAAATTTTAGGATTTTTTTTTTCCTGATAGGGTGTAACTTGAGCAATTGTGGTTAGTTCAAGATTCGACAATTTACTGTTTAATTTTTTTGGGAGCTTCTCAAATGATTGATTTAAAAGTGAAGTGAAGTTTTTGAAGTTCAAGATTTTATTGGGTTCTTTTGTGTGAGCTGTGTTCTTAAGTTTTGCTTTTAGGTGACCCTTGTTTCCCTGAATAAAAATTCTTGATTTCGGGTTTCGGTCGGAAAAAAAGAATGAGGCTTTAACTTTTTTGGGTTGAATAATCTCAGTTTTGAGGTTTTCAAAAAGTTATTTTTGTAGGTAACTTGAGGTTTCCAGATTCTAAGATTTGAAATTTAAAATCTAGGGACTTTATCGATACAAATGGTCTTTTAGAAAGAACCTCAATTGTAAAAATTTTAAGTTTCTGGGTGTGTTTTTTCATTTTGGGGGAAAACCAAGTACTTCTGAATTAGGTTGTAAAATTTGGGGATTGTGTCAGATTTTACTCTCTCTAGTCAATATGTGAAAATTGAAATTTGTTGCACCGTTCTTGAGGAAACTGGTTTTACGAAGTGTTGAAAGATGGCGGATAAGTTTTGGTTAAATGAAGCGGGCAAGGCTATGGTGGAAAGTGTTTTAGGCAGCGAAGCCGCAGAATACTTTGTGTGGTCAGCTTCAAATAATGTGTTGTCAGAGTTTACTGGCTTGAGTGGAGATCTGGGAGTCCTTCAGGGTCTGTGCAAGATTGTTGAAGGGTCAGATTGGACTTATGCCATCTATTGGCAAGTAGCCAAATCGAAATCTGGTAAATCATCCTTGATATGGGGGGATGGGCATCTTAAAGAATCAAAGGAAGGCGAGGATAAAGATGGAATTTCATCTGATAGTCAAAAAACAGCTGAAGGAGATCGAAGAAAACTAGTGCTTCGGAAGATTCTCGCGTGGTTTGGGCGATCAAATGATGATAAGATGGTTGCTAAGTTGGATCGGGTTTCTGATGTTAAGATGTTTTATCTCTCGTCGACGTACTTTGCATTTCCCTTCGATAAGCCCTCTATTCCTTCCCAATCATTTAATTCTGGCAGATCAATTTGGGTTTCTGATGTGAAAAGCTGTTTAGAACACTATCAGTCAAGATCATATTTAGCAGAATCTGCTCATTTGGAGACTGTGGCGTTTATTCCATTGAAATCAGGAGTTGTGGAGATTGGTTCCAGTAAATCGATTCCTGAGGACCAGAATGTCATTAAGTTGGCAAAATCTATAGTCTGCAAACCGAACTCTGCGCAGCCAAAAGTTAATCCCAAAATATTCGGGCGAGAACTCAGTCTCGGAGGTTCCAAATCAGGTCCTGTCAGTATAAGTTTTTCTCTGAAGGTGCAAGATGATTCTGGTTTTTCTTCAGAATCATACGATGTACAAAGAATAGGCAGTGCTCGAGTTTATGGGAACTCGTCAAATGGGCACCGAAGTGACGAAGGTGAAGCAAAAATGTTTCCGCAGATGAACCAGATTATTGTCAGGGGATCAAATTCACAGGATATGGTTTCCAGCATGGATCAAACTATTGAGGGTTCTTTACTTCTTGGTGATGACCGAAAGCCTAGAAAGAGAGGTAGGAAGCCCGCCAATGGGAGGGAAGAACCACTGAATCACGTGGAAGCAGAAAGACAGAGACGTGAGAAGCTTAATCAGCGTTTTTATGCATTAAGAGCCGTGGTGCCAAATATCTCAAAGATGGACAAAGCGTCTCTACTCGGTGATTCGATTGCCTATATCACAGATCTTCAGACAAAGATAAGAATCTTGGAAGCTGAGAAAGAGATGGTGAATAATAAGCAAAAGAATGATGATATCCCTGAAATAAATTTCTATGAAAGGCACAATGATGCGATTGTACGAATGAAATTCCCCTTAGATTCTCACCCGGTATCTGGTGTTGTAAAGACACTGAGGGAGCATCAAGCTGTCGTGAAAGAATCAAATATTTCCATATCCGACAATGGTCAGGTGGTTCACACTTTCTCTCTTGAAACTCAGGGTGATACTGCTGAACAATTGAAGGAGAAGTTGACTTCCGCTCTCTTGAAATGATCCAGCCGTAAAGTTGCATTTGTCAGCTGTATTTTTCATTGTACTCTGTATTTCTGGTAGTTTGACAGGAATTCCTCGTTTTCATTGGCCTGTATATAATTAGTATAAGTAGTTGTTACCTAGCTAATTTATACTCTTGTATCTGATTATGCTACTGTATTGGCTAAATGTTGGATTGTTCTTCACCGCATATTCTCTCCTGGTTAGTCCCGTGTTTGGACTCTTGTTAACTCACTAGTATTATCATGTCGGAATTTTTGGCATCGGGAAAGGCTTAGAAACATGTTATTAAGTGTCCAGAATATATAGAAGTTATCATACTGGAAAAAACGAGAACAAATTCCAAAATTCTTGGGGAGAAATTATGAAACTTAGAGTTGAGCTGAGGGGATGGTCGATTTTCTTCTGCATATCGTCTCTTTGTGATTTTGTATTCATTTCTTTTAACTTGCTTGCATAGCAACATGAATCTGGTCTTTTGTTCACTCAAATCATAGGGATTCTAAGGCTAGTTCTTGTGCTGGCTTTGTTTCCTCTCGACCTTCCCCTTCTCTTTCTGCGTGATCCATTTTCTTAAAGCCTAAACATCGTCGTGAATTTGCAAAATGGTTAAATTTACCAGTGATCACCCAATATTATACTTGGTGTCATCATAGTAACTCAATTTAATTTTGTTTCACTATGACCACCCAACTCTTTACTTAATGTCACAATGATCACCCAATTTCATATAACATTTCACTAATGGTCACCCAACTTTTCATCATTTTCATTAATTTTAAAAGGAATAAAACGGTAACTTTGCACTATATATATAAAATAAATTAAAAAAAAATTTAAAATAAAAACTTATTTAAAAAATAAAAATAAAAACTAATTTTTAAAAAAAGTTACTTAAAAATATAAACTAAAATGAAAACTTGTTTTTTTTAAAAATGATACTGAAAAAAATAAAATAAAATAAAAACCTATTTTTAAAAAAAATTACTTAGAAAAATAAAATAAAAAGTTATTTTTAGCCCCTGTTTGAGTTATGTTAAAATTTTCATTTTCATTCTTCTACTTAGTTTCAACCACACATTCTTCAATAAAATAATATTTTTCATTATATCAATAACATTTCCTTCTTTTTCAACCACACATTCTCCATCACTATTCCAAAATACATTCTTCCAAAATAATGTAGCTCAAACACACCTTTAAAAAAATTACTTCGACAAATAAAATAATATAAAAAGTTCCTTAAAAAAAACTTTATTATTTTTTTAAAATTTATTTTATATATATAATACAAAATTACCGTTTTACCTCTTTTAAAATTAATGAAAATAGTGAAAAGAAATTTGGTCGCCACGGTGACATGTTATATGAAATTAGTTGACCATGATGAAACGTTATATAAAAGTAGGTGGCAATGGTGACACTAAATATAAAGTTTAGTGGTTATGGTGAAACAAAATCAAATTAAGTAATCATGACGACATTAAGTATAAAGTTTTGTGGCCATTTGTAGATTTAACTCACTGCAAAATGATCATCGTCTTATTTTACCTTTCTTTAACTTCATTGTCTTGTGTACTTATTGGTATCAACATCTTTTATGATTTGAGGAGATTATGCTAAATTTATAATCTTGTTAGTTAAATGCAATGGCCACCACAGTATTTTTTGTTCAATGTGAACAAAAATTAACTACCGAGTTTTATAATTAAATTAACGACCGAATTCTATAATTTGTGTGATCATATGATGTGGTGTTCAGATTGGTTGCTGATGAAAAAAGGAGAAAAAAAATTAACTTGTATTTTAATTTGATTACAGTATTTGACTTTTGACTGGAAGGATTCCCATAAGAATTAGAATTTGGAATCGTCATCAGGAGAAAAAAATATAAAACTATGCTTAGGTTTAGCTAAATGATTATTCTAACAAGCCCCCCCACCTATAGGGGCACCAAGTGGTTACTTCAAGGGTCCTTGTGACCCCGGACATGTAGCATGATTGTTATGTCATCTTATTTCATCTAGTCTATTGTTTGCATTCGAACATATCCAATGTTGTTTTTCAATGCTAAATCAAACATTTATTTATTTATTAGGTTGAACGATGGTTGATACTGTATCATTAATATATTACACAAATAGAAAGGAAAAAAAAAAAATTCAAAAATGTTACTACTGCTTTCCCTATTTGGAGAGTTGAGATCCGATGCTACCAATGATTCATTGACACATCATTTTACATATATTTTAAGGTACAAGTAGCAGTGAGAGAAAAAGTTGGACATGCTAATTTAAAATGGTGTATCAACTATTAATGAATCATTGGGTGGACAGCAAAATTTCGGTTCTTTTCTTAATCGAGACAATTCAACTTGTACATAAAGATTCTGAGTTCATTTCTAAACCGGACTCTTTTATGTATATGAAACTTGTCTGCTACTATGAACAAATTCAGCTTTTTAATTAAAACATTATATAATATTACAGATTAGAAAAAGAATATATTTGAAATTACATTTCATTCATTGTGTTGTTTGTAAAATTGAATACATGAAAAATACACCAAACTTACAAGAGAATTTCAGAAGAATGAAACAAGAAAAGGTTTGGTTCCTTGACCTAAAATAAATGAATAAGAAAATTAGTTTGCTTGATGATAGCTTCTTTATTATGGTACAGTCCACTGTTAATATAATTGTTGTTACTTCTATGGTGGGCTTTATTTACTATTAGTAGCCATTCCAAACTGAACCGTTTGCTCTGGATAGGCATCATCAGCTGCAAGCAGGGGTGGTGGCGGCGCCGTCGCCACACTATGCCCTGCAAAATTCTTCTCGCTGATAGAGCTCCGGCATGGTCTACCACCACTGCCACCGACCCACGTGCATCCATTTGGCGAAGGCGGGTTAACGGTCTTCAAGGACGGTAACAGCAGATGTCCCATTTTCATCCACTGTTTTTGTTCTTTATCAAGAATTCTTGCAGCTCCGTAGGGTTTAATGTTTAGAATAAAAATTATTGCTACGATTGCTAAGAGAAGATTTTGGGCCTTCATCTTGTTCAAAAAGTAAAGGGAACTCTTCACTGGAAAATAGATGCAAATTGAAGATGTGTTTGTAATATTGTGTAGATATGTGATGTCTGTTGGTGTATATATAGTGCATGAAAAGAGAAAACGGTGAAGATTTATGACTTGAATATCGTATGTTTAATTTTATGGCATAGGCTTTGACTATTGACTCTAAAGATTTGAATAAAATTAGAATTTGAATGGGTCGTGACGAGTGGGGAAAACAAGGTTTATCTAAACTATAGAGTTCCCATTTTATAATTATTTTAATTTCTTTACAAATGAAAATATTTTCTTCTTTGCTAGTTGTTCTTGTTGCTCGACCCAACTTAACGGTTTCAATAATGGACAGTGGTACATATATACTTAGCTTTGATTTGACTTTCATTTTTCAAAACTCAATTTCAAATAACATAATTCATTATATTCATAACTTTTATCAACTTTTTAAGGCATATTTAATTAACTTTTATCTAAATATGCTAAAAATCTGATTTTTATCTAAACAAAATACAATATACAGAAGTGACGATCTTCAGAGATCTTGTGTGTTTTAGTAACTAAGGTATTTTATTTCGTGGGTAGAGATGTATTCTTGTCGTTTAACTTGTAGTGTATGAAAGCAATTAAAGGTGTGTTGGTTTCTATTATCTAAATGAGACATTAGTAACACGCATTGAAATATTGTTAACAAATCTCAATTATTAACACAAACTAAAACATACAATTAATGAATGTTGTGATAGACCCCTTTTGCATGCAATTGACAAATGTTGCATTTTGTATGCTGCAAAATTTCATTTTTGTTATAGTTACTTGAAAAACAAGTTGTAGAATTTGGATTTGACTAATTGAAAGTATGTTTTGAAAACAAGTTAAAATCAAAATTTGAATAGTCCAAAAAGGCAAGAAATAATTCAATTGTATATCATTGATCAACATTAAAATATTGAGATGGTTATTTAATTTAATTTAATTGTTTTACATAAAGATTGTTGTTAAAAAAAATAAAACATTGTTTCCAGGAAAAGAATTCTTAAATTTTGTTTTTCTTTTTTTTACCAATATTCTTTAGGTGAAAATATTATACGATCTATTCAGAAAATAGAGAAACAAATCCAAAGATAATTTATTTAAAAATTGAAATCAAATGGAATATTTATTTTTTTTCATGTCAAACATAACGTGTTATCTTGAATTGACTGGGGCTTTAGTTCTACGCCTTTGCATGTTTGAAGTTTTGGTCTCAAATGTTTTGTTTGAACTCCGTGGCATCAAGGGCAAGTTAATGCAACAGTATAATCAAGAAAGTATACACAAGTTTAAGAAAATAAGGCACAAACTTCCATTTGTAATTGAAGATCACCACGGACGTGAAGGAAAAATCCAAATTCTTATGGGCAAATTCATTCTCCCTCGACATATGCATCCTTGTTAAGAAATTTCCTCATAGTAATCCATTCTAACCTCTAGGTTTACAATGTCAACCGTGTTAGACATGAAAAGGATAGAATTTGTGAGCACCAATATTCTTGGTTTGTTTATATGCATCTGTTTTGGAAAATAAACCGTGTACATTGGAAGTCATTTCACTACTTTGAGGTGAAATATAAAGGTCTCCTAAAGAACGACCTAAAATGGAAATCATTTCACTAAATTAAAAATGAAACAAATTTTTTGTACTGTTTGTGTCAACAATTGTAACTTCATTGACTGTGGACCAGGTAGGCACGAGCTTCCGCAAGGAATTTTAGAGAATAGAGAATTGGAATTCTACTTTCCTTATGACCGGTAAAGTCGAACTTGAGCGAAGTTCTTCACGTATAATAAGTTCTACCTGGATTAGAATTGGACTAGTTCATCGGGAGTATGAATCTGAGTTGGTGGTCGAGTTATGGTATTTTTTGTATTAATTATGCATACAATCTATATCAAGTTAAGTAAGTGTATAATAGAGGAAAAATCAATTTTTGTTATATATGTACTGCAATATTGTAAAATGTGCAAATCACAAGTGAGATTGTAGGTAAGTTTCTATTACCATTAGGTTTCACCAAAGTTCACTCCCAATCCCAATTTTTAGCTTTAGTAATGGATGACCATAGGAGATGAGGGTAGGAGACCCAAAGTTTCTGCAATTTTTTATATTTGAAAATATAGCACAATAAAGAAAAAGACTTTAGCTTACAAAATATAAATTGTTGGTTGCTAAATTTTCAACTTTTTATTAGTAGACAAGGCCGACCACAACATTATTTTTTCTTTTTTTAATTTTAAAAATATTGTGCAATCAGTTCCCAACATCTAGGACCTCTAGAAAAATTTGTCCCGACCTTCTAGTTAAAATTGTCATCCCCATCCTTAAATTTCATTTGCATATTTCGTCATTTTACATAATTTCATTAATATCGACATAATTTTTCCTCACATGAGATGCACGAGCTAATTTCTGGATGGTCAGTTGGCTAGATATGATTAACACATAACCCAGTGTTTCATATATAAAAATTTTATTAATTTTGAATTCTAATTTCTGGATTGTTGTTTACGTCAATGCAAATATCTCTCTCTCAACTGTGACTGCACTGTCGACTGCCAACCATCGTAGCACCATGGACCATTGTTGGCCCTCCTAAACAAAAAATCCTAGCTTCGCCCTATATGATATGTATCTAGGATCGATGTCACTTCATTGAAATATTGACATGGCTTCGATTTATGGGAGTGGGGGGGAAATAAAAGTTAAAACTTCCAACGAGTACGTTCAAATCTAAAGGCTTTCAGTTAAAGCAGAGCTCAAACGTATTACATGAAATTTCATTTTAGTCATAGAAATATATAGATAACTACAGAAGTAGCAAAAGGATTGCTTCTTTTAGCTGTTATAAGTAGAATGAAAGTAGCAATTTAAACTTACAAAAGTAAAAGGTTTGGTTCCTTTAACCCAAACAAAAATGAAAAAATATATCAGAAATTGCTTCAAGTTGTATATTGCGTACAATCCAAATGTTAGAATAATTGTTGGCATTTATATACGATCAGTAGCCATTCCAAACTGAACAATGTGCTCGGATAGGCATTAGCAGCTGTAAGCAATGTTCTAAAAAGCGCGCATAGACGTCATCTAGGCACGTGATGAAAACGCTTCTCATTAAGTCTAAGCGAGAATTAAGCGGTCAACGACAATGTTGACTGCTTAATGCTCACCTAGATGTTCCTAGGCGCGCCTCTGCCT